GAAGAGTGCAGCAATGAATGAATGGAAATCCAAAATCTCTGTAAATGCTCATTAAAATTATTTTAAAAAAGAAAATGAAGGTCTGTGACATGAAACAGCTGAAAAGTCATGACCTTTGGCCTGACCCCCGTCACAACGTTATCAGTCAGCTCACATGCATATGGAAGTTGGACAGTGAACAAGAATGACCAAGGAAGAATTGATGCCTTGCAATTAGGGTGTTGGCCAAGAATACGGACTGTGCCGGGGCTGCTGGGACAATGGGCCAACCTGTTGGAAGAAGGGTGGGCAGAGTGCCCCTTAGAAGAGAGGATGTGACACTTCACCTCATACGTGTGGACAAGTAGTCGGGAGGGGCTGGTCCCTGGAGAAGGGCTTCATGTTTCAAGAGGTCAGTGAGAAGGAAGATCTTCTAGAAGCTGGACTGATGTGGTGACTGCAGCAACGGGCTCAAGTATCACCAGATCTGTGAGGACGTGGAGGGTCGGGCAGCGTTTTGTCGGGCTGCACGTGAGTTGGGCCAAGCAGGCTATTGATCTTTTCCTTTCCCCAAGTGTTTATCTGCATACAGCTGATCTCCGCATTATCGAACCAGCCTCTGTGGTCTGTGTGTGGGCATCGATTTAAGTGGAGCTCTCTCCAGTGAGCTAAGAGCAGCCTCCCGGGAGACCAGTCGCCTGCATTGACTCACCACCTTCCCTCTGCCCTCCCCTTCAGAGGCCTGGGCGGTAGGACTCTCCCAGTTCACCAGGCCATTCTCTCTGGCCTCTGTACCGCGCTGCACTTGCTCCTTCTGGTTCTAAACAAGGCTGACTTTTTCTACACTGGTGGAGGGTAACTATCATTGGGGTGAGGAGGAAGTGAGCCTTGGCGTGAGTGGGTGCTGTGGCCACTGATAGGATGGCCCCGAGGTATGCAGCGTCCCCCACAAGCGAGGAGGGTGTCAGACTCTGAATCACTCAGCCTGGCAGGTGCAGGCTGCTCTGCTGGGCACAGAAAGACAACAGGCTGGAAGGAAGCAGTGAGGTCACCACAGGGAGGTTTTCGTAGGGAGATGCAGTTGTAATTGTCATGTAGTCCGAACTCAACATGTTTGAAAGGTAGTTTTGAGCTGATATGATGGTAAACTTGTCTAAAGTATACATGTCCTAAAGGGAGGGAATGAGTGAGTGGGGAAGAGTTTTGTAATTAATTAGTCTATTACAATCTCAAACATTCTTCTATGTGGTATAGCCCTGGTCTGTGTGTTGCTGTCCAGAGGTAACTCGTGGTTGCTGTGATACTGAACACTGTGACACTGATGTGCCGAATGTGATAATGGTTACCTATGGTGGACAGTGTTTGCTGGAGCTTCCCGATTAAAACAAGCCTGGAAGCAGAAGTGGCCTCCACTTCCGAAATGGCTTGCCTCCGAAACTCTATGAACAGTGCTCAGGCCTTTCATTCATAGGGTCGCTATGAGTCGTCTACGACTCTACAGCACCTAACAACAATAACACAACAACATTAAAATGATAAACGGAAAGAAAAAAGACACCCCAACAACTGATCCAAAAAAGATGCATGTCAGATGTCTGCACAGAAGCACAATTTCAGGGAGAACGATGACGTTCATTTTCGTGATGCACCTCCATCCATGGGTCAGTTAAGGGGAAGGGTCCCAGGATACCGGCCTGAGCAGGGAGAGGGTGTGCCCAGGACAAGGAGGGGGCGTGACCAGGACAGGGGGAGGGCGTGATCAGGACAGGGGGAGGGCGTGATCAGGACAGGGGGAGGGCGTGACCAGACAGGGAATGCTCAAGCCCAGGAGAAGGAGGGGGCGTGGTCATGGAGGGGGCGTGGTGAAAGGAGTGTGGCGAGAACAGCCTTGGACCAGTCACAGGCCTTGTCACCGCCGGCCCAGCCATTCCAAACCCCCCGGGTCGTCTGACTCGCCTCCAGCTTCTAATAAGAGAGGTATGGTCGTCCTTCTCCAGAGTCTTTGATCCACGGAGTTCCATACAGGCAGGCTTTCTATAATCTGGTGCCTTCTGAGTGCACTGCCACCGTTTGGTTAGCCCCAGCTGGTGCTGAGATTTTTCTAGAAGATTTAGGAGAGTCAGTGCAGTGATGTGGGTGAAACAACGGTGGACCGCAGCCCTGTGGTCAAGCCTTCTGGAATGTGAACTATGAGACCCCAGTTTTATGTAGTCATCACCAGAGCACACAGCAGTGGCCCGTATGCAGACCCACCTATTTCCTGCCAGGTGCAACTCATGGTGACCCCAGAGACAGAGTAGAACTGCTCCTTAGGTTTTCCAAGGCTGTAATTCTTTACAGATGCAGACCCCCCCCACCCCCCCTTCCTCTCACAGAGCAACTAGTGGATTCAAACTTTCTACTTTTTGGTTAGCAGCAAATTCTTCTTTAACCATTATGCCAGCAAGAGCATACTATTGTTGTTATGAGTCAACTATGACTCCTAACGACCCTATGAACAATAGCTCTGAACCCTTTCCTATCCTGAACCAAAATCACCATCTCTGACACCCTAGCCCTCACTGCCACCATCACTGTGCCAATCCATCTCTTCCAGGGTCTTCCTCTCTTGCGCTGTCTCTCCACCCTTTTAAGCAGGTTGTCTTTCTCCAAGGACTGGTCCCTCCTGGCATCATGCCCAAAGTGTGTGAGATGGAGCTTCAACGGCCTTGCCTCCAAGGAACAGCCTAGTTTTACCATCTCCAGGACAGATCTGTTTGTTCTCTTGGCAGTTCATGGTATATTCAATAAAACTCAAAACACTTTGCCTTCTAGTAGGAACCAACTTATGAACTTTCAGTGGCTGTGAATCACATTGCCCATATATTTCTCCCTCGGAGCAGCTGTTGGATTTGAACCATATACTTTTGTGCTGACAAATATTGATGGAATCATTAAGTCGTTTCCACACTTCTCTGTCAGGTGTCCTTTTATGGCAAGTTAAGTAACCTCTGTATTATTCTCCTCAACACAGAAATGGGATTGTAACAGCACCTTGCATTGCTGAAATAAGATAATGAAGTGTTAAAACAATAAAGGTTAAAGCATTATTGCTGTAGGGAGCCCTGGTGGCCTAGTCCACAGGGTTTTGCCAACTCAAAGGCTGTGTCAAACAAAAGGCAGTTCAAATCCACTAGCCATTCTGAGAGAAAGATAGGAAACCTCCTCCCATGTGATTTATAATGTCAGAAACCCAACGGTCAGGTATGAGTCATTTCTGACTTGATGGTAATCAGTTAGTAATATAGACACAGGTCTTTCTCGTTCTCATTACCATTGAGTTAGAGTTAACTCATAGCTGACCCTCCAGGTGGTTTCTGAGACTGTAAATTGCATGAAGGGAGACTGCCTATGTAGCAGCAGGTAGGTTTGAACCATTAGAAAGATTTGGCCTTTGGCTTAGCAGGGCAACTCCCCGTGGACTAGGCCACCAGAGCTCCCTTCACAAATATAGTGCTCAGGCCTTTCATTTATAGGGTCTCTATGAATCGTCTATGACTCGACAGCACCTAACAACAACAAATATGTATATATATAAAAATTTAAATAAATATATATATATATATACATACACACACACACACACACACACATATATATAGTTGTTGTTGATTGCTTTCGAGTCGACCACGACTCATAGTGACCCTATGAACAAAAGGCCCCTCTAAAAGTCTAGAACTATCAACATTTATCAAAATTTATAGAGTTTCTGGAAGCATGTTTAGGAAGTGGACTGACTCTCTCTCTCTCTCTTACATATATATATATATATATTCAAAACTCCAATTCATCATGGTCAAATCTCCAGAGAAACTTAGCCTTTGGGTTAACAATGGACCCTCCCATGGGCTAGTGCACTAGACCTCTAACATGCATTTACAAGTTTTATATGTTTATAAATAAATATCTATTACCTTTTTAAAAAAACACCCCCAAAACTAAGAAGGAAGCTGAAATCTAGAGAAATTACCCTGGCTTCACAGAGCAAAGTTGGGAAAATATCTCTTCCCTTCTAGTCTCAACAAGAATATGTGTGAGAGTAAAACAGTATGTTCCTTGAGGGTTGGAAGAGCCCACCTTTTAATGTGTCTAGCTTTGGAATTCTTTATGGAAAGATTTTACTAGGACTATTGAGGCTGTCTATGTCCTCTGGTATCAGTTTTTGTAAGCGAGGTTAAGTAAGTGGCCCATGTAGGTAGGAAATTTGGTCCTAGGCAATCTGTTTGCAAAGCCAGTGCTTTTAAATTACATTTTCTTGCCTGAGAGACAATCACTTTACACAGGTTGCTTTACCTCTCAACTTTAGTGTCCTCCTTATACATGAGATATTCTTTCCTGACGGAGGAAGGCTAATGCAGGCCTTTGAATTGTGATGCTGGAGAAGAGTACTGAATATCCTATGGACTGACCAAAAGAGCAACTCTGTCTTGGAGGAAGTGTAACCAGGGAGCTCCTTAGAGGCAAGGAGAGTGAAAAAAATCACCTCACATGCTTTGGGCATGTTGTCAGAAGGAGTCAGTCCTTTGGATAAAGGCAACAATCTGGGAAAGGTCTGTGGATCCGAGAAAAAGAGGAAGACCCTCTGTGAGATAGATTGACGTGACTGTAACGAGGGCTTGAGCACGTTGACAAGATAAGGGCGGCCAGGGTACAGCAAGGTTCAGATCTGTTGTTCGTAGGGTCATTTTAAGTCATAGTTAACTGGATGGCACCTGCCAACAACAATTTCCTGCCTGGATTGTTATAAAGGTTAAATGATTTAGAAAACAGAAGCTGCGATGCCCTCTGTGCTTCTGAAACAGTATTCAACACACCCTTGCTGTGCATCGCATCACAGTACCAACCCAGTCTGGTTCCTGTCTCTCCACCCCATTGTCTCCCTGATGTGGTGGAGCCATGAGCAGACCAACCCCCAGATCTGCAGCCTCGAGCCGTCTACATCCTAGAAACCCACTCCACTGCGTGGGGCAACCACCGACCACTCACTGTTGTCTCTCAAGGTTCTGGACGGTGTCTGGGAGTGGAAGTCCTTGGGTCTCCGGGAGGACTAGGAGGAAGAAGCTGGAAACGATGGGGACGATACCGTAGGAGAGAGGAGGTAGCAGAGGCAGAGCCTGGCGGGTCATTCTGATCAAGGGGCCCATCACGCCCCCCAGCCGGCTTGCTGAATTAATGACTCCATCTGCTGTCATCCTGTAGGGGAAGAGAAGCAACCCGTCCCAAGTCACAACTGCTATTACGTGGACCTCTACCAGACCAGAGGGAGCTCTGCTGGCCTAGTGGTAAGAAGCTGTGCTGACATCCCAAAGGTTCGGATCCACCATGTGCTCCGTGGGAGAAAGATGAGCAATCTCCTCTTGTGCAATTTACTGCCTCTGAAAACCCCTTGGAGGGTCAGTTATGGGTCAGGTGTGACTCAACAGCACACAACCACAACAGCTACCAGAAGAGAGGCACTTTGGGTGAGCCAAGAAATGCCAAGAAGGTAAAATCAGGTTCAAGATTTCCTTTAATGTCATCTTTAGGGAGTCCCCCGGATTTTCCCCACCCAGGGAAGGGGCCCTATTTCTGGGAGCATCCAGAATCTTTCATAGAGAATGCTTTGGGAGCTTTAGGGAAAGGAAGGTGGAGTCCCTCTGTCCAGCTACAGGTGGGCAGTTAGCTTCCCTCACGCTCTCTTGGGCTCCCCCTAGGTACTCACTCCTCCCTTCTGTCTCCTCTGCCCCTTGCAGGGTGTCCCTTCCTCACCCCACCCCAAGGTCTGGCAGACCCTCGCCAATGTGGCCTGCAGCCTCAGCTTACCTCAGCGAAGTGGGGAACAGTTCAGTCTTATAGAGGTAGTAGCAAGTCAAGCTTATCCCAAAGGCTCCCTTTCCCAGCACAGCAAAGACCGTACGTAGGATCCACAAATCTAGTGGGGGTGAGTGTGAGGCGGGTGAGAATGGCAGGAGGTTCACCTACGAGGAGTCAGGGTGGGGTACACTGAGGGTCGGCAGGGAAGATGAGCTGCCTTGATCTCACCTTGTGGCACCAGTATGTTGACCAGGATGGCCAAGCCACTTAAGGATGAAGAGCTGGCCAGTGCCATGCGGCGGCCCAGAAACCTGAGCAACAGCGGGGTGGTGACCCGGCCCAGGAAGTCCACGGCTCCGAAGAGGACTTGCAAGAGGAAGATGTCACTGCCCAGACTCTGCAGGTCCAGGACCAACCCGTAGTAGGAGAACGTTATGGAGAATCTGTGGGACACAGCCGGGAAATTGGTCCCTGCGGTGTCACCTCACCTCTGCTGCAGTCCTGTCACCTTGAACTTGTCGCGGCCAGAGCCCTGGGAAACCTGGCAAATGCAGGACACATTTCCCCAGGGCTAGGCTGGTTCCAGGTGGGGGTCATTTGGCTGCTGGCCGCAGGGCTGGGATGTACTGGGATGATAGCAGGAAGAGTTGACCCTCTCAGCCGCTCACACTGCCCTCAGGGGCTCCTATTCTGTGCCCAAACCTTGGCTAGGTCCTTGCTCTTTTATTGGCTGAGAGTTTCAGCTCCTCTTTTATTTTTTTTTTTTAATTTTTTATTTTTTTTGGCTGATTCAGCTCCTCTAGATGCCTCTATCTTTGATCTGGAAAATGGGAACACCTCTCAGTGGGCATCTCCCAAATGCCCCTTCAGTTGGGTAGTGTGATTCCCACAGCCTCGGGAGTGCTGGCCGTCAGCTAAGAAGATCAATCTTTCCCAGAGTGGCATCCACGTGGGTCACAGGGAACATCTCAGAAGGGGCCATAGTAGCTCCAGGTTCCCAAGAGATGTGTGGGTCTTACTGGGAGAGCAGCCTAGTCTGTGACACATTTCTGCCTTGCCTCAGGCAGATTCCTTGCACTAGAGAGGGTCTCAAGAGGATCCCCCCAAAATAAGGAGCATCCCCAATACACTCCCTGCTCCCAAATTCCCTCTCAGGGTCCACTCTCTGGGGGCTCCTTCACCACAGACACATGCATGCTTCTGAATAGTTGACTTATAGGGTCTAAATTTCCAGCTTAGAGGCTGAATTTTGATTCTCAAGCATCCAAAGTGTAAACTCACTCTATGCCACCTTCAAAAACCCAACCCTCTCACAGATTCTACAAAAGAAATCTGATCAAAAGGGGGGGAGATGCAGAAAAGAATTTCAAATTCTCACAGAATCTAACCTTCCTGAAGCTACTGATGATGCATGAATCCCTGAAACTACTGCCCTAAGAAAGTCTTGAGGGGAGCTCTGGTGGCCTAGTGGCAAGAATCAGCACTGCAATCCCAGAGGTGCAAGTTCAAATCCACCAGATGCTCTGCTGGAGAAGGAGGGACAATCATCTCCTGTACCAGTCAGATCTGATTTGACAGTACACACATACAAAGGAAAAAAAAAAAGAAAAAGTCTTTATACTTCCAAATATTCGCTGGTAGTTTAGTGGTAAGGAGCTGTGCTGTAGTTCCGAAGGCATATGGTTCAAATCCACCGGTTTCTCCATGGGAAAAAGTTGGGCAATCTCCTCCTGTGTGATTAAACTACCTCTGAAAACCCACTGGAGGGTCAGCTATGGGTTGGTTCTGACTCCACGGTATACGACAACAGCTTAATTAGTAAAGAATGCCGAGAGGATTGTGTTCTTTTAAGATCCACCCTTAGAGGCAGCATCATGATACATGGTGAAGAGATTGAGATTGTTAACAGTTTTAGTTTGCTTGGCTCCACAAACAACACTCTTGGTACCAGCAGCCAGGAAATCAAAAGACAAACTGCACTGGGAAAGTCAGCTGTCAGGGACCTCTCCAGACTACTGAAGAGCAACAGCGTCAGTCTGGAGACTAAAGTGTGCCTGATCCAGGCCAGAGTCTTTGCAATTGGTTGCTATGCTCCAGAGAGCTGGACAATGACCAAGAATGATAGACAGATTTTGAGTTGTGATGGTGGAGAAGAGTGTTGAATGTACCATGGACTCCAGGAGAACACACAGGTTCATCCTAAAGAGGGCAAAACCAGGGTGCTCCTTGGAGGCAAGGATTCTGAGACTTCGTCTGACAAACTTTGGGCATGTTGCAAGGAGGGACCAGTCCTTGGAGATGGATGTCGTGCTTGGAGTGGAGGAACAGAGAGAGAGAAAGACCACTGATAAAATGGGTTGATTCAGTGACTGGGGCAATGAGGGTAGGTGTGTCAGAGACACAAAGTTGGCACAAGAGAGAGCAGGCTTCAGGGCTGTTGTACTATGAGTCACAAGCGACCTGACTGTATATAAAAACAACAATGAGGATCAAAAAGACAATAGCAAAAAAAAAAGACAATAGCAACTAGAAAGATTTGGCAGGTGATTTATGGGACAGTGATTGTATGTCAACAGGGGAGATACAACTCAGAAAAGTAGAGTTACTGTTCAAATCCACCAGATGCTCTGCTGGAGAAGGAGGTGCAATTTCCTCCTATACCAGTCAGATCTGATTTGACGGTGCACACACAAGAAATAATTAATA